CTGTCTGATGGTATATTATTTAGTGGGTCGTTGTACAGTTATTGGCTTTTTGGTACTCGTCTTATATAACATTACATTGACACTGAAGTTGAATCGGTTAAGGCTGGTTCACAATATTATGCTAGTCTTGACGTTACGTTGACACTGGAATCGAATCTGGATCGATTACAGCGGAAAGCATGCATCAAAAGGTCAAATTTCCCACACTTTTGATTAAAAATTGATGGCACGCTAGCCTAATGTCATATTGTGAACCAGGCTTTATACTCTTAAAGCATGCATCAAAAGGACAAACCACCCCATGAGATTCTTAATCAGCAATTTATTTAATTTCTTAACTTCTGGTACGTGACACTAACACTTTAACAGGTGTTACCTCCTTTGTCCCATTACTCATTGTTACATGTACCACTAGAGATCTGTTGGAAGAAGCTTGAGACTGTACAGTATTGTAGGTTATCAGAGGAGGGGAGGAGGAGGAATGGAAGAGGAGGAGCTGAGGGAGGTATTTATAGCTAGTGATTTGAAGAGTAAGAATACATAAAGTACTCATTTATTAGAGACAGGAGGGAAGAGAAACTGAATGATCTGGTAACAAGAGATTTGATGATTGTCAGCAAAAACTATGATATATTAAAAATAACGATCGAGACATTAGAGATAAAAATGAAAAGTATTATACACATTATGATTGCAATTTTATCTTTTTTCATATGTTACTTAAACCCTTACTAATTTTAGCTACATGCAGGCTGATATTACTTTTCTTCACTTAATTAATGATAATCATGGTGTCTGAGTGTGTGTGAGTGTGTGTGTGTGTGAGTAAATTCCTTCCTAATATGGTAACAATGAATCTAATAAACTGATCACAAGATGTCATTAGAGGACAAGTGTTGGACTGCCTTTGAAAATAGAGATCATAGAGAAGCTGTTCGCTTACTAGCATTAGTAAAGGAACCAAATAAAATTAAAGGAAGCTATGAAGGATGGACTAACACTAGTTTACTTCATTTGTCTTCAAGGCATGGCTGGTTAGATGCTACAAAAAATCTCATCACTAAATATTACTGTGACCAACACAAAAGAGATAGTGGAGGTCGGACTTGTCTTCAACATGCTGCAGTAGGTAATCATGTTGATGTGATGAGATACCTCATTGATGAGTGTCATTGTGATCCAAAGGTTCCTGATAAGTATGGAAACACTGTTCTTCACAGAGCAGCTGCTAATGGATCACTTGATGCCATGAAGTACTTGATCAATCATCATCACTGTGATCCAATAGCTACTAACAATGAGGGTGACAATGTTGTTAAACATGCAGCCACCTTGCCAGCAACTTATAACAACTCACCTGATGTAATCAAATATTTAATCAATGAGTGTCACTGTGATCCAATGGCTGTTGGCAGGAATGGTTGGACACCTCTTCATACTGCTACTTATAGGGGTCATTCTGAAGCTATTGAATGTTTATTATCAACTGGTAAATGTGATCCATTGGCTAAAAACAATAAGGGAAGAACACCATTACAACTAGCCAAAGAAAAGAAACAGAGAAGTGGGATTAATACTCTTCCTATCTTTAAGAAGTTTGGTGATATAAAATCATCTCATCCAATTCATTCTTATGTTAACGTTCTCCTTGTGGGTAATCCTGGAGCTGGTAAAAGTACTCTTAGTCATGTCATCAATGACACAGCTAGTTTTACTCTTCTTGGTTCCTTCAAAAATGTTGAAGGGGTAGTGCCCTGTACTGCTGGTATCATTCCTTATAAACTAAAACACAGGACACTGGGTAACATCATTCTTCATGATTTTGCTGGTCATTCAGAATACTACTCCAGTCACAGTGCTGTCATTGAGAATCTCTTACAAGGTTCTGGTGGTGTGTTCCTCATAGTAGTCAATATATTGGAGAAGGAACCAGTCAAACAGCTTTATCAGTGGCTAACAGTTGTCACAAATGAAGCACAGAAAGCTCTTAATCAATGCCATGTTATTGTAATAGTCAGTCATGTGGATGAGATAAGTAATCCTGTTGAAAGGATAAAGAGAAAGGAAGAAATACAAAAGATTATTGTAAGGGAAAGGTGTGATAGTGTCTTTCTAGATTGTCGTAAGCTTGGTGGGAGTGGTATGGATTCCTTCTTTAATAAGTTGTCTAGTGCCTGTGAGTCCATTCGTAGTACAAGTGGAAGGAATTTGAGTCTTTATTGTCACATGATGTATGGTCTACTGGAGGAAAGGAAAGAGAATATACTCACCCTCTCTGATGTAATGTCTGCTGGTAAGGACAATGATGATTATTTTATACAATATAAAAGAGAAGAAATCTTAGATGTTTTAGATTCATTACAGTTGACTGGTTTGATCAGTGTTCTTAAAAGTGAAGACAAGGTATGGGTTGTTGTGAATAAGGGTATACTACTAACGGAAGTGGATGGGATTCTCTTTGCTCCAGAGACATTCAAAGAACACGTTGACATTGCTAGCAATACTGGTATTGTTAGTGTGTCTGGTCTGACTAGACTCTTCCCTGAATATGATCCTGACATGTTGATTCGCTTTCTGAAGAATATGGAACTCTGTGAAGAAATTAATCCATCTTTCCTAACAATGACAAACCTCCATCAGTTAGCAGTGGAAAAGGAGGAGGAGGGAGGGACAGAAAGAAGAGGAGAAAGGTTGTTGCACTTTCCATGTCTTTTGTCTATTGATAGACCTGATGAGATGACTAGTCAAGTGTACCAGTTTGGTTGGTGTCTACAGTGTACTAGTAAACATCATTTCTTTCCTCCTCGATACTTCCATGTCCTCTCATTACGTCTTGCTTACAAAATGGCTCTACCTCAAGAAGATGACAAGTTAAAGCGATGTTGTACATTTTGGAAGAATGGACTTTATTGGTCTAATAGTCATGGCGTAGGATCACTGGTAGAGATTGTGGATGAGAGCCAGTGTGTACTAGTAATGATGTCCTTTGATGAAGACATTATGATGTCAGTAGGAAGAGATGTGATAGGAGAGGTAATGAGTGTTTATAGAGAATCCTGTCCCAGTCTAAAGGTAAAAGAGTTAGTTATTGATCCTAAAGAACTAGCCTATCCTGTGAATACAACAAGAGAAAGGACAGTGTATAGCGTGAAAAAGATACTATCTGCTATTGACAAAGGAGAAAAGTGCATAGTTCATGATAATGGAACAAGTACAAGATTGAAGGAGATCCTATATGATGAATCATTATCAGATATTAGTAACCTGTCACTATTAGGAGGACGTGATATTAGGGTAAGAATTAACACACAAACTGTTTGATACATTAATACAAGCACTAATAATCAAAAGGTCATTTCTTTAAAAAGTAATTTTATTTCTTATCAATTACTCAGTCTTTGTCATAACTGTGGGTTGTCATTGTGTGGCTTTTACTACTAATAATATATACTTGTACATCTGTTAAATTCACCTTTCAGCAATACACTACTGATGTATATCACCTTGATAAACAAGCACAGTGACAAATATCAGTTATTATTATTATTATTATTATTGTATAGGAAGTGATTAAAGTAACTGAAGAATTCAAGACACCATTAGCTACAGTAAAGCTAGGTATGTTATAATATGCATTATCACAATTGTCTAGTAGTGGGAGTGTAGACTGTACAGTGTATATACACATTATTAATTATTATTTTTATAGATATTAAAGATCTTGATATTGTCATTGAAGAGCTAACAATACTACCTTGCCATATATGGCATGATCTTGGTCTTCAGCTAGGGCTCAATCAGCCTACACTAGAAGACATCAAAGAAGATAATAATGGAGACTCTAAGAAGTGCTTTAGACAGTGTATGTCTGCCTGGTTAAGAGGAGAAGATAAAGTGAGAGAGAAAGGAGGTCCCAGTTGGTCGTCATTAGCTACAGCACTGGATACAATAGAAGAGAAATCTATTGCTACTAACATTAGAGATAAATATCGTACATCAAACCAGTTAATTGTCTAGTTCTTTTGTTTATTGAAATTTGTTAAGATGGCTGCCTATAGTATCTTATTTTGTTTGTAGCTATTACTTATTAATAATAATGGTGCCTTGACATTTATGCATTTATGTACATGTACACTTAACTACAATATACCATTATTATTATTACTATGTAATCATTGTTCTTGTATTTGTACAAATGTTATGTAATGATCATTATGCATGTATTATTATTGTTATTCTTATTGTTACTTACATGTACATGTATGTGTGTTATCCTTATTGTGGCCTTTACTATTTCTACTTATAGACAGACTGTCAATATGACATCATATGATGTATTATGATTTTTAGTATAAGTGCATGCTTTTACTGTGTTTGGTTGTTCATTCATTTTTCCTTCTACTTCATTATTCCATTCTCATTTAAAGTCCTCTTTGACCCTAGCGTAGTTGCCATTCTCACATTACTAAGATGCGCATGCTGTTCTTTCATATACTCAGTTGTGTTTCACTTCTATATCTGCTTACTATTTAATTGAAATCACAGTTCCCAATATTACACATTATTACAAGATCAATGTAAAACATTAAGGGGACAAGCCAAGCAAAGCAATATACATCATTATTACTATTTACGTCTGTCTGTCTGTTGCTAATAAAAAAGTTTTAGTTGATTCCTACAACAAATTTTTGTGCAATGGGCAATTTTTGAATTAGTACATCACTACCAAATGTGTACACTAGCATCGTTACTATAAATAGTATCAATTACTACAATAGACAATGATACCATCATACACTACAATAGCATAGTGTCAATCAATAGCATGGTACTATAAATAGTATCATTTACCTCTATTCCTAAGGAAGAATGACACTATGTCTCAGTTCCAGTCTCCAGTACATTGAGTGGGAGGGAACATTGATCCAATGAATTAAGAGACACTCCTAGATCAGGAGAGACCCAGATTTTATGAAATAATGACAAAGATAGAGTTTGTAAGAGAGAGGGACCATCTAAACATGAAAAGAATAGGAGGTATTTTAATTTCAATTTATATTTATCATAAAATTGTAAATATTTACCTGGAGTGTTATAGCTAAACATTCTACAGTATTCCAGTGGATGAATGGCAGCAATGATCATAGCATTAGAGACACTGTAGACCACTGGATAATAATGAAGTTAAGGATCACAATTGCACATTATTAATGATTAATGTACATGTACATGTACATAGCTCAAGGAGAAAAAAATAACAAGAAGAAAGGAGAGGATAGAGAAAGAAAGGAGAATCATTGTACACATGCATAAGCCTTGGGCATTTTTCAGATTTCGGCTTTTGTTTAAAATGGCTGTAACTCTAAAAATTTAAGTCGGAATCAGCTCAAACTTTCTACACAGCATAAGGACATTAATACATATTAGAAAATTTAATAAAAATTGGGGTGATTTTTAGCCATTTTAAAGGAAAAACCATGGGCTATAGCCTTGGGTATTTTTCAGATTTTAGCAAATTTCTTTAAATGGCCGTAACACAAAAAATTAATTTGTAATCAGCTCAAACTTTCTACACAGCATAAGGACATCAATATGTATCAGAAAATTTAATAAAAATTGAGGGTGATCTTTTAGCCATTTTTCGGAAAAAACCATGGGCTATAGCCTTGTGTGTTTTTTATATTTTGGCAAATTTCTTAAAATGGCTGTAACTCTAAAAATTTAAAGTTGGATTCAGCTCAAACTTTCTACACAGCATAAGGACATCAATGTATTAGAAAATGTAATAAAAATTGAGGGTGAATTTTTAGCCATTTTTTGAAAAAAAACCAAGGCTAATGACTGTGCATGGGACATTAATTAGGATACACACAATCCTGTCCTCAGTGAGAGTGAACAGCAGTGGCCATTTAAAAAGGACGTCGTTCAACTTCCCGACATATTGTGGAAGAGTATCATCATACTGGAAGGACTCCATGTTTGGCTCTATACTGAAGACTGAAGAGAGAGCCAGAGATTATTGCTGAGATGAGGAGGAATGAAGAGTGAGGTGTATTAAAGAACTGTCATTAGCTAGGAGAATGAGGTCACCTTTATGAGAACCAAGTACTGTTAGTGTATCAAGACTGGAGCCTATTGAGAGGAGAGAGGAAAATAATTAATAACTATGAATAAATAATATGAATCATTGATATTGATGGGGAGCCTGGAACTTTAAAAATTGTAAGAAATCCAAATTTAATCAGAAATAGCTCAAACTTTCTATGCAACATAATACATCAGAAAAGATTGAAAATGCTGAATCATCTCCTTTTCATTTTTGAAGAAATTTCCTGTACTTGTAGTACAGAGACTTTGGCCCAATTTTTGAACAACTTTAAAACTTTGTAAAAAAATCCAAATTTAATCGGAACTAATCTGGTCCCTCCTCTTCGTTGTGCAGTGGTGCAACAAAGAGGCAGGGCCAGATGAAATGGGAACATGCTCAGTCTTTGATTGGATTCAACTCAGACATCTATGCAACATAAGTACATGTCAAGCTGGTAAAACTATTCTCTCTCTAACCTTCTCTCCAAGGATAACACGAGACAGTCAGCTGAGGCAAGCATGGAGTCCATTATCCTCTGCAACAGCTCTCTGACTAGGAGCACTAAACACGCTCTTGTCTATTAGCCAAGCTCCTTTACATTCCTGTAGTACCATCATGATGACTCCACGTGGTTTCGATCACACCTATACCACTCCCCTTGAGCTTTGATGCAATAAAAATTAATTGTGGTGAAAATTATTATTTTGCCAAAAAGTTTAAAATATGTGAGAAAAAATGAAAAGAAAATAGCCACCTTGCCTACACTATCTAGGCAATGGGCTATCATATAACTTTATGCTTCACAAAAACTGCTTTTATTTACCTCCTCTATGGGGACATAGAGGGATTTAGTGAAAAAAGGCTCCAGAGTTGAGATATGACCATCAGTAGAGTCAAAATGGGCTACAACTCACAAAAAAGAATCTAAATTCAAAAAGCCTCTGTATGAATCCTGACAGGTAGAGTCTTAGGCAAAAGAACTTCCTACATACCACATATAGCTGCTCTATCTCTTATAAAACGTCCAAAACAACTTTAACAGAGCATAGATATAATACACAGTATTATATCTATTATATTAGTTCTGCGTATTATATCTATGCACAGAGTATGCCGACATGTTCTCTTGCTTTTAAATGGAAAGGGTTGAAACTCGTTTCTGCATGTCATTATGTATACTATGAATAATGATTAAAACTGTGAATATCATGAATATGATTAACAAGATGACCAGCCACCGATGAGAAAACGTCTGTATGTATGTACAGGCATAGGGCCAGGGTCAATGGTCTAACTATTATATAACCTAATCTTCATTGAAAGCAGGTGTAGTCACAATGAATAAAATGGCAGCTATCAACAAGTCTGAGCTTATTTGCAACAAACGGTCAGCAAGATAAGGCTAAAATGCTGTCCAAAGACTTCTCTAGCAAAAAGAAAGGTTAGGAAAGCAGGTGTAGAATCTTTTTACTTTATATAAAGGACTCTGATGAGTTGAATGCAAGTGGTGAAGCATTAGCTATCTGCATGCACCATGACATCTATTCTAGGTGATGTTTCTTCTGTAGCAGCAAGCCTAGGTTAACAAAGAAGATGTACAATCATAGTCTATGGTACAATCTTCTTCAAATATGATTTGTTCAGTCACTGCTTCTAACTATGAACCACTATGGTGCAATGGACTCGCCTGCTGGAATTCACCTGAGTGATATGTGTTACTTGTACTGTGATATTTTAAGCAATTTTGAAAAAAATTATTATTGACTGCATAGTTATAATGATAATTAAAATAAGTTATCGGTGTGGTCAACAACTAGCTAGCTAAATCATGGCACATGGGTAGGAGAAAGAAGAAAAGCTGAAAT